CCTGACCTGGGCACTGTTTCTCTTGCTGCTGCAGCAGCTGCTGGAGGCCTGGTACCTGACCTGGGCACTATTTCTCTTGCTGCTGCAGCTGCTGCTGGAGGTTTGGTACCTGACCTGGGCACTGTTTCTCTTGCTGCTGCAGCAGCTGCTGGAGGCCTGGTACCTGACCTGGGCACTGTTTCTCTTGCTGCTGCTGCAGCAGCTGCTGCTGGAGGTCTGGTACCTGACCTGGGCACTGTTTCTCTTGCTGCTGCTGCAGCAGCTGCTGCTGGAGGTCTGGTACCTGACCTGGGCACTGTTTCTCTTGCTGTTGCAGCAGCTGCTGGAGGCCTGGTACCTGACCTGGGCACTGTTTCTCTTGCTGCTGCAGCTGCTGGAGGTCTGGTACCTGACCTGGGCACTGTTTCTCTTGCTGCTGCTGCAGCAGCTGCTGCTGGAGGTCTGGTACCTGACCTGGGCACTGTTTCTCTTGCTGCTGCTGCAGCAGCTGCTGCTGGAGGTCTGGTACCTGACCTGGGCACTGTTTCTCTTGCTGCTGCAGCTGCTGGAGGTGTTCTCTTACTAAGAATGTGATATATATATATATACCGTTGATCAACATCTTTTGCAGATGTTGTTGACGAAGTTTCATTGTATTATACACTCCATTGCAACAATTTATTTCCCCTGTTGTTGCTATTCCCTCTGTGCACATTTGTTGGTTGTGCCATAGGGATGTTGTTAGGTTGGTATTCTGGTTTGGAAGTGTTGGGATGGTGGTAGTTTACAGTGATGTTGGGATGGTGGTAGTGTTACAGTGATGTTGGGATGGTGGTAGTGTTACAGTGATGTTGGGATGGTGGTAGTGTTACAGAGATGTTGGGATGGTGGTAGTTTACAGTGATGTTGGGATGGTGGTAGTGTTACAGAGATGCTGGGATGGTGGTAGTGTTACAGAGATGTTGGGATGGTGGTAGTGTTACAGAGATGTTGGGATGGTGGTAGTGTTACAGTGATGTTGGGATGGTGGTAGTGTTACAGTGATGTTGGGATGGTGGTAGTGTTACAGTGATGTTGGGATGGTGGTAGTGTTACAGTGATGCTGGGATGGTGGTAGTGTTACAGTGATGTTGGGATGGTGGTAGTGTTACAGTGATGTTGGGATGGTGGTAGTGTTACAGAGATGTTGGGATGGTGGTAGTGTTACAGTGATGTTGGGATGGTGGTAGTTTACAGTGATGTTGGGATGGTGGTAGTGTTACAGAGATGTTGGGATGGTGGTAGTGTTACAGTGATGTTGGGATGGTGGTAGTGTTACAGTGATGTTGGGATGGTGGTAGTGTTACAGTGATGTTGGGATGGTGGTAGTTTACAGTGATGTTGGGATGGTGGTAGTGTTACAGTGATGTTGGGATGGTGGTAGTGTTGCAGTGATGTTGGGATGGTGGTAGTGTTACAGTGATGTTGGGATGGTGGTAGTTTACAGTGATGTTGGGATGGTGGTAGTGTTACAGTGATGTTGGGATGGTGGTAGTTTACAGTGATGTTGGGATGGTGGTAGTGTTACAGTGATGTTGGGATGGTGGTAGTTTACAGTGATGTTGGGATGGTGGTAGTGTTGCAGTGATGCGGGGATGGTGGTAGTGTTACAGTGATGTTGGGATGGTGGTAGTGTTACAGAGATGTTGGGATGGTGGTAGTGTTACAGTGATGCTGGGATGGTGGTAGTGTTACAGTGATGTTGGGATGGTGGTAGTGTTACAGAGATGTTGGGATGGTGGTAGTGTTACAGTGATGTTGGGATGGTGGCAATGTTACAGTGTCGCTCTGAAGTTCATAATACAGCAGAAGGCTTACAGAGCCTGGGTTACCTGGCTGAACAGATGATCAGTTCACTGAACTACACCTGGTTGTTCACCTCTCCTGGTTGTTCACCTGGAGTGGTATTAATTATTTATACCTTGCTGACCTGTCGATGGACTCCTGGCTTGTACTCTGACAGCTTAAGTTCCGGGGTAGGGAGAGTAGAGGGTAATAAGTGAATCAGAATGCAGAGTTCTCACTTAGATTACATTTAACCACTCATCCTGAGCATGTTCATCCATCAACATGAACACAACGTAACATATAAACTTGATGGAACAGATGAACAAGAAACTCACCTGAACACACACTCCCAGAGCCGTTACTCATATACATTTCTCCTCCTTCAAAAATGAGATGATTCTCATGAATTGCTAATTAAGAAGAAATGTTCTTTCTCGACCCCCCCCCCCTACAGAGTTGATTTATTCCCCTCATTATCCCTCATAAATCACCAGACGGTCTCTTAAATTGCAGCTCTCCTCACTATTTCCGCGACTGGACCAATAGGTTTTCCTTCGCCAACTCTGACGTAATCTTTTGCAGCTTCCAAGTGATATATCAAAGATGCATTCTTGAAATTTACTTCCTGTCGGTGGACTTGTCGGTGGACTTGTCGGTGGACCTGTCGGTGGACCTGTCGGTGGACCTGTCGGTTGTATGTCCTCATAGAGCCAGCTTCAGAGGCCTGCTGTCCGGGTCAAAGGGCTAAGAGTCAGAGTGAAGTGAGGGGAACAAGGTGACAGCCAGAGCAAAGGGGGGAACAGGGGTGACAGCCAGGGTAGAAGGGTATGTTGGCTGGTGGGGTAATGGGCATGTTAGCTGAAGTAATAATGGGTATGTTTGCTTGCGGAGTAGTGTAGATGTTGAGTAATGGTTATGTTGACTGGTGAAGTAATGGGTATATTGTCAGGTGAGGTAAGAGGGGGGTATGTTGGCATGTAAAGAAATCGATATGTTGGGGGTATGTGGGCTCCAACATGATCCGTTATCTAGTATCTTATTACTGAGAAAATTAGTTATTAAATTTCTAATTATCAAAGAAAATAATTAACTAACTAATAAAGTAAGAATGTGATGGGTGTTGTGTTCCTCTTCACCAACAACGACAAATTCTTGAGTATTCTTTATTTTTCTTTACTGTTGGTATATTTATTGATATATTGATATATTTATTGCATATCAATATTGATATATTTATTGTATTAGATTTAGTTCTGTTTTTTTACTTCAAAATGCATCACGATCAGTTGTGTGTATTTTAGGAGACATAATGTATTAAGAAAATATCAAAGTATTCAGTGAGGATCCACAAGGTCTTCTCTGAGTACTCTTCATTTTCTTCTCCGAGGCTATGGGTCCCTACACTTACTGTATACTGTACACTTACTTACTTACCACTTAATCAACATCCTTCTCACTTGTGGAATGCAGATTTTGTACCATTTTTATACATAAAGAGACAATGAGAATTGTATAAATCTTGTACCTCTTCTTAGTTTAATTGCCAAAAATGATGCTTTCATTTCATTCATCTGGGCTCTGGAAGAATCGAATCGTGATCCCCGGGAGTGTAAGACCGAAGCTCTATCGACCGAGCTATTGTGAGGCCGATAGAACCTCGGCCTCACACGAATAGGGACCAAAGTTCGAGTCTCCTAGTACTCAGGGGAATGGAATGTTTATTTCCAGGGAAATGTGGATGAGAATTTGTATAATTCCTTCAGTATGTTGGGCAGCAGCCTTGAGGGTGATGACGGGACGACATGAGATGAGTCTTGATGAGTCTTGATTCATCTCATGTCGTTTTGTCGTCACTTGAGATGAGTCTTCACTCGTGATACTTTTTCCACCGGTCTCCTTATCTCCTCTACTCCCTTCTCGTTCTTAAATGTACTCTGGAATTCTTATCTGTGCGTGCGTGTGTGTGCGTGTGCGTGTGTGTGTGCGCGTGTGCGTGTATATGCGTGTGGGTGTGCATGCGGGTGTGTGTGTGCCCGCTTCTTGCATGTACATGTATGTATGTGCGTGTTTTGCGGAATATGTGCTCGCTGTGTGTATGTCTAGATATACTGCATGAGCGTGGGTGCGTGTATGTGCAGTGTTTGTATGCACGCCAAGAGCTGCTTGAGCTCTTTGCAAGAGCAATGATCCGGTGAACATTTATCCTATCCTCGCTATCCACATTTGAGTAGCTAATCTCCGTGTTTCCCAATCTTCCTCACAAATCCTTGTCCTCTATCCCTTCCCTAGGATCCCTAGGACCCCTAGGATCCCTAGAATCCCTAGAATCCCTAGGATTCCTAGGATCCCTAGAATCCCTAGAATTCCTAGGATCCCTAGGATTCCTAGGATTCCTAGGATCCCTAGAATCCCTAGAATTCCTAGGATCCCTAGGATCCCTAGAATTCCTAGGATCCCTAGGATCCCTAGGATCCCTAGAATTCCTTAGTCCCCCACAACATCTCTTACTCACAAAGTGAATTCGACGAGAAATCCTTTCTTCTCTATTCATAATTCGACGACGTCAAAGCTTTTCCTGCTGAGTTTTCATAAATATTACATTAATATTGGCTTTTGGGTGAAAGTCAATTTAAATATAAGACTTCATAATAAAAGCAAATGGCCAGATAATTAGTTTTTTGCATTGTAAATTGTACGACAATGAGTATTTCCTGGAGCATAATTGAATGAAGGGGAGAATATTCTGGGCTGATACATAAAATTTTCGAAAGCATCACGAGGCCTCCCAGAAAAGTCCATTCGGCCTTACCTCTCTCTCTCTCTCTCTCTCTCTCTCTCAAGCAGTAAATCCAATTGACGCAGAAGGAAATCCAATCAATCTGTATCGTCTGGAGTCTCGTTGTAAAGCCCCGTGCTCCGTGCTCCGGGCGGAGGGCGGAGGGTTCCGGGCGGAGGGCTGAGGGCTCCGGGCGGAGGTCTGAGGGCTCCGAACTCCGGGCGAAGGGCTTCAGGTGGAGAGCGGGGGGGGGAAGGAAGTGAAGCCTCATTCTGCTAGTCTCTGGGGCAGGGTAAGCGAGCCCAACCCCATTGGCTGAACTTGCAGGCTGTTGAGGACACCAGCGCCTGACTCTTCACTCTAGTTGAAGCCTAGTTGATGGTCCAGACCATAGGTGACAGTGTTCGACTTATGGTCCAGACCATAGGTGACAGTGTTCGACTTATGGTCCAGACCATAGGTGACAGTGTTCGACTTATGGTCCAGACCATAGGTGACAGTGTTCGACTTATGGTCCAGACCATAGGTGACAGTGTTCGACTTATGGTCCAGACCATAGGTGACAGTGTTCGACTTATGGTCCGGACAGAAGGTGACAGTGTTCGATTAAACTGTCACCTAAAACTGAGGAGAAGAGATGGTGAGCGAGCCAGCAGTAGCCCCCGGGGCCGAGGCCCAATAAGCCAGCCTTCGCCAGCCTGGTGTCCATAAGGTGTCACTTGGTCCGTCTGCCGTTGCTCCGCCTGGCGTGGCCCGCGTCGCCACATCACTATATTGACTTTTGCCTCGCTGTTTCCGATGGCTGGAGAGGCGGGAAAAAAGGAGGAGACGCCCAAAGGCGGCTTTTCAGAAGAGAAACTCGAAGCGCATTTCCCCCCCTCGCCACTTCTCGCTCCTGAGAGACAACGAGAGGAGAAACTCGAAGCACATTTTCCCGCCTTTTCCTGCAGGAGTCTGAGACACGGGGAGGGAAAAACTTGGAGTGTCGGAGGCTGGAGCACGCAAGGCGCTTCTTGTGGCCTCAGACACTGCGACTAATCCGGGTTTTTGGTATAAGTTTTCTTCCTTCGACTTGCTTTCCTCCCCCTGGGATAACATTGCCTGAGGGAAATTGTAGCTCCAGCTACGTTTTTCGATGCGTTTCATGTCTGACTTGGAACTCTTGGCGTTTAATTTTAGGTTTTTGGCAAACATAAATTTACTGAAAATTGAACAACTGCAGGTGTTATGATTATTCGAATGAGGGTTATATATAGTGTATTTATATGATAATATTCTAAGCGATGTTTTGCCATTGGTAGATCAACACGAACACGAATATTGATGGATGATTTTCTGAATATAATTCAACAAAATCTTTTGCAACGCAGCCAATTTTGAGATCGTATTTGTCATGACAAATTGAACCGCGACTTTAAAACTATTCAACTTTTTAGGTAATTAACCTAATAAATGTATACTTTCCGTTAGAACTCTCTACAGGTCATAGTTCTTACTCCAGGCACTTTAATTAATATGGTTCTTTGCAGGCGATGAGTCACAATAACGTGGCTGAAGTATGTTGACCAGACCACACACTAGAAGGTGAAGGGACGACGACGTTTCGGTCCGTCCTGGACCATTCTCAAGTCGATTGTGACTTAAGAATGGTCCAGGACGGACCGAAACGTCGTCGTCCCTTCATTTTCTTGTGTGTGGATTGGTCAATATGGTTCTTTCTTTAGCTACTGTGCAGGATACAGTGCACACTTTAGCTTCTGCACAGGACACAGTCTACCAGACCTGAGGTTGAATGTCTGCGTTACGACAATCTCACAGTCAACCCTTCCTCCAGACACCCTCCCAGTCTCAAATACATTCTCCAAGGCCTCTCCAAGCACATTGATTTTTGTTAAAATTCCATTATTATTCTTTGCTCTTCTTACCAGATATGGTTCTCTTGGTCGCCCACAATAGTGAGTGTTGACAGTATCCGCAGACTGTATCTCCCGTCCGTCTTCTGTCTCCTGTCATTTAGCTCGTGAGTTCTATTGACTGTTCTTCATTCAAAAATAACATTGAAAGCGACCACTTCTCTGCACTTATTAGCACTTCTCTGCTCTCAAGCTCACGATAAACACAATATTGTAAAAATTACATTGACTGACACACGAAGGAATGTCGACAGGAAATATAGCGTTTTTGGTGATGCTGTGATCTAGGGGGAGCCGGTGGCTGAGCGGAAAGAACACTGGGCGCGTGATCCTGTGGTCCCGGGTTCGATCCCGGGCGCCGGCGAGAAGTAATGGGCAGTGTTTCATTCACCCTGATGCTCCTGTTACCTAGCAGTAAAATAGGGACCTGGGTGTTAGTCTGCTGTCACGGGCTGCTTCCTGGGGGTGGAGGCCTGGTCGAGGACCGGGCCGCGGGGACACTAAAGCCCCGAAATCATCTCAAGATCATCTCAAGATAGATCTATCCCTCAGCGACACATCGGGAGAAAGAGGTTCTTTAGGGATGCTGTAACCTATACTATACAATACGGACGAAAGGATTTGGTCTTGACAACCATGTTCGCTCCCAACCACTTGGGCTGGACGGTAGAGCGACGGTCTCGCTTCATGCAGGTCGGCGTTCAATCCCCGGCCGTCCACAAGTGGTTGGGGCACCATTCCTTTCCCCCATCCCATCCCAAATCCCTATCCTGACCCCTTCCAAGTGCTATATAGTCGTAATGGCTTGGCGCTTTCCCCCTGATAGTTTCCTTCCTTCCTAACTGTTCTCGCGTAATTGAGCTTTGGCTCTTTGGTCCCGCCTCTCAACTGTCAATCAACAGGTGTACAGGTTCCTGAGCCTACTGGGCTCTGTCAAATCTTAATTTGAAACTGTGAATGGAGTCAGCCTCCATCACATCACTGCCCATTGTATTCCATTTGTTA